GATGTTTCTGTTTATCTGGTGTGGAATATGTACCTTCTTTTCCCCCGAAGGCTAAGGGATCCCAGGGTGTGTGTCGGGATATTGTTTAACCAGTTACAAGTGTGCCTCTTACTATTACAAACACTGCCAAGTGTCAGTCAAGGACTATCTGACTTATTGGGCTTTGGGCTTGCAGAATTAACAGGAGCCAAATGGGAAGAATCCAGCCCCCAATGACTGATCTCCAAAAGCTGCTAATGAGCAACGCTGGCTGGTATTTCATCAACAACAACAAAATTAGATTTGTATAGCTCCTTTCGTGTCGGGAGGACATCCCAAGACGCTAGCTAACTCCTCCCTCCACAGACTGCAGATCATCCAGAACTCTGCAGCCCATGTCCTCTCCTACACCAGGCTCTGTGACCCTATCAACCTCATCCTCGCCCATCTCCACTGGCTTCCCATCACACGGAGGATACAGTTCAAGATCCTGGTCCTCACTTTCAAAGCCCCCCATGGCATTGCTCCCACCGATCTCTGCAACCTCCTAACCCCCTACCATCCGGCCCGCGCTCTCCGCTCAGCGGGCTCCGGCCTGCTTCACGTCCCCCACGTCGCCCGGTCTCACCTGAACTCCATCCTGCAGTTCCTCCGCCTCGCCCCCTCCCTTGCCTCCTTCGAGACCCATCTCAAGACCGTCCTCTTCGCCCGTGCTTTCGATCTCCCTGCTTCCCCCCGCCCTCCACCCTCCCCAATCCCGATCCCCAGCTTGGGTCGGAAACACCGAGGGAGGAGTTGAGGAGGCCAACATGCAAGGAGTTTGTATAGCCAGCGTCGATGTTATTAATGCGTGTGTGAGGGTTTCGGCAGCCTGCGGAGCTGGGTGATGTTGCGGAGGTGGGGTAATGCAGAGTGGGTCATGACACGAGGTGGGGTAGAAAGCATAGTTGAGAGTCAAACAAGATGCCAAGGTTCCGGACTGGCTTAGTAAGGTGGAGTGTGCATCCATGGATGGTGATGCTGTCAGCGCCTGAGGTGAGGAGGCGCTGACGGGAGCCAATCAGGAGCGTTCAGCTGAAGAAAGTTACCTTTCATCCAGTACTTGATGTCTGACAGACATTTTGTCAGGACAGCAGTGGTCCTGGAGTCGAGGGTGGAAGCGGAGAGGTACAGTTAGGTATCATCCGCAAAAATGTAGAAGTTGACCTCATGTCTATGGACATGTGGCGTAGTGTACTGCTGACCAGCCTGGCCCAGTTCACAGCCTGGACATGTACCCCTACCTATTGAGCAGTGGTTCACAAGTTGGAAGTGTTGAACTTCAGCAGCACAGCAAAGTAGGGACCAATCCCTGAATAAATGAATGTGCTTTGACAAACTTTGACTCTATAGAGCTTCCTCTCAGCTATTTGACAGAGATCTGCCTTCAGCACGATGGAAGGACCAACAAGGGACAACTTACAACATACCAAACCCCTTGATATTCTAGGGATAGTAATTCTTTCAAAATATGTTCATTCTCCAAAAAGCAAACCTATTGTTCATGGAGTTTAAAAAAAATGAAGCTTTAATTAAGAAAGGCTTTACAGAACGTTACTTAGGTGGATAAATGGTGGAGTTTTGATAATCTCTGATTATCAGAAGTATTTTCCTCAGGAGATTAAAAGGAATGGGTAACTGCTGAAATGTACCCTTCATTTTAAATGTTCTGTGAAAGGAGCAACACCAACAACAAGATTACATTTGTATAGCGCCTTTCACGTCGGGAAGACGCTTGATAGGGCTCAATGATGCCTTTATCATTTCAATATAATCTTGTGTTTTGTTACAAAGTAGCCAAATCAAGCTGTAGATTCCCGTTTTAAATGCCAAAATAAATTCTGAAGGAAGGGGTACAATAGTGTACATTATGATTTAATTTATAAACTAAGTTTGAGGACTTGTTTTCTGATAATCAGACACTATAAAATGTTGAAGGAGGAGTATCCTAGATGCAATGAATAAATGTTGAATGTATAGCTTTAATAAAAATGGAAATTTAGGAATGTGAAGTTGGGTTTCTATTTAATAATTTGCATGTAAATGAAACCACTAAAATTCTAGAACAAAATTACTTATTCCTTACACGTTTCGGATATAATTTGTAGAGCACAAACGTTAAAAGTTAAAGGAAATCAATGTTAATTGATCGATCCAAAGCTGTTTTACGGGATAAATTTGAATTTAGCTACTTTTATAAAACCAATTAGTGGAATTACCTGGTTAATATCTACACCTTCAATCAATAATTCTCTACGAGGCAGACTAACAAGGTTATAATGTTCTTGGAATCCTTGTATTGATCATATTACAAACTCTTGCCAGCACTCTTTCCTTTTAGTCAGAAGGTTGTGTGTCCAAGCCCCAAGTTGGGACTTCCAACTCATATAATTTAGATTGACAGTCCAAAATATAGCTGGGGGTGTGCTGCATTGTTAAAGGTTATGTCCTTTGGATGAAACGTTAACAACATTTAAAATGTAGGTTGTTAAGCCGAGAACCAGTCTTCCTATTCAGGTGGTTGTTAAGGACCTCATGTCACTAATTAATAATAATAACAATCCTTGCATTTAATATCGTACCTTATCACGTCTTTGAGACATCTCAAAGTGGTTTGCAGAATATACTTTGAGTTGACTGTATATTTTGTTGGTGAAACGCGGCAGCCAATTGTGCACAACAGTCGTTTGTGGGACAAATTATTATTTTTAAAAAAATGTTATTATTACCCCTGGAAAAGCAATCCGCTAATCTACTAACCATCAGGTTCCTACTTACTGCTAGGTAAACAGAGACGTGTGGAGCAAGGAAACTTGCCCAACCTTTTGCTTTGCCTGGTAATCGAACCCTTAATTACCCAGCGTCTCAATAGCTCTGTGATCTGCATCACTGTTCTGCTGACGCAGGCATGTGCTCTAACCACTAAGCTACAGGACTCTATTTGCAGAGAGAAGGTAATTTCTCCGGGGTCCTGAACAATCGACCAAATAAAGTTGGTCATTCACTTCATTCATGGCTGTTTGTGTGACACTGCTGTGAACAAATTGGCTGCTGCATTTGCCTAAAAAAAAGGCACATTTGCTATACTTTACAGCATATCCTGTGAAGCTCTTTGAAACAACCTTACATCAAATACCACCAATACCCATTTACACCTTTGTTACCTCCTGACTCAACTTCTGAAATGCGTTCCTCACTGACCTCCCTAGTTCCTCCACCCATAAGCACCAGCTGATACAAAATCCTGTACAACCTCAACTTCACCAAACTCTGCATGCCCATTAGTCAATCTTCAGTAAGCTTCCCCTGGCTTCTGGTCTCCCAATGGATCAGTTTCAGTGTGCTCACTCTTTCCTATAAATCCCTTAGTTACCCAGCACCTCAATATTTCTCTATTCTTTTACCCCACTGTTCTGCTCATGCCCGTCAGTTGGCTAACTTTAGCATAGTTTCACCTAGTATGGTTGACCCATCTGTTGGCAGTTTCTGTTTTTTAACAGTTGAAGAGTTCAATGGACCCCACTCTGTGAATTGCTCTCACAATAGCTTTCAGTGGTGTGTGATGTGTTGAAGAATTAAGTTTATATATGTGCTTGATGTAATAAACTGATTTGCTTGAAGGCAATGTAGCTATAAGAATGTTAAAGCTCGGTTATTTTTGGTGAGGTGAGGCCTCACAGTCCCTTAAAATTTGTCACAGACCAGCAGAAATTTGAGTTATGTCAATTATATTCTTTGCTCTACCCCAGTTGTGTTGGGACCGCATATGAGAAATAATCCTTGCATCATACTCAAATCATTTGCTCACAAACACTTTACCCAAGCCCCAATTAGCTGATTCTTTGTTTTATCTCTTGAAAGCAGAAAACTTCAGTTGAGCAGCTGGATCTGTGGTTTGACTTTTTCCTGTTGGTGTTCCGTGTCTTAGTGGACTTAGGCACCTTCCCCCAATAGCTAAGAAAGTTTATCCGTTGAATAGCTGAAAATATTTAGAAGGTTTGTGCTGAATTATCTTATCTGTGGAGTCCTGTTGCTTAGTGGTTAGAGCGCTCGCCTCAAAAACAAGAGGATCCGGGTTCGATTCCCGGGCAGGGCAAAACCTTAGGCAAGTTTCCTTACTCCACACGCCTCTGTTTACTTAGCACTAAGTAGGAACTTGGTTGTTGGTCGAATGGCGGATAGCTTTACCAGGGATAATAATCCCTTCAAGAATTTTTTTTCAAAAAATAATAATTTAGTCACTCAATCTTTGTGGGACACTGCTGTACGCAATTGTCTGTCGCGTTTCGCTCACAAAATATACAGTCAATTCACTTTACAGTATATTCTGTGAAGCACTTTGAGACATCTAGATGTGATAAGGCACTATATCAAATGCAATATTATTATGGTCATCATAAATTGATGCCCTCTAGTCAATTGCCTTGATGTCCTTCCTAAAGAGGCACAACCAAAACTGCACACAAATGCAGTCTAACTATTGACTTGTATACGTTTAGCGTTACCTCTTTGATTTTACATTCTATGCCCTTATTTATAAAACCTAGGTGTAACACAGTTATGCATGAAGATTTATTCTATGCAATAGCTTTCCTATTAACACCATACCAACCTGTCTGCTCACTGTGCACTGGTCTGCTTCATGTCCCCTGCCCTATCCGCCCCACCAATTTCAGTCGGGCCTTCAGTTTTTCTGCCCCACTCTCTGGGACTCCATCCGCCTCAGTCCCTCCCTTGCTTCCTTCAAGGCCCGTCTCAAGACTTTTCTCTTTGATCGTGCTTTTGGCTACCCTCCATCATAGCCCTACCCTCTACCCCTCTTGATTCCAACCCCCAGCTCAGGTGCAAACCCTGAACTATCCAGCGCCTTGGGATGTCCTACCAACATGAAAGGCACTATATAAATGTAACTTTGTTGTGATGGATTTCAATTAAATGTTTAAAAACTGCATAACTGTACATTTTGTTTTGCTTTAATATAGGTGACAACTAAAGCTAAACAAGTAAAGGATTCTGTTTTAAGTACTCCAGGTATGTGTATTTCATAGTATTGCTGAGATTAAATATATTTGTTCCGCAAGAAATGTGAACCCACGAGTGTTGTTCAGTCTGTCTGCATTGAGCAGCGTCAGGAACTAGAAGAGCTAAAACTTTGCATAGCCCAATGTTGATAAGACTGAAGCCATCTTCTTTAGCACTCGCCATTACTCATAAACTTCTTGTCTCTTAATTATTAAATTCCCTGATTGGTACCTGAGGCAGCCATAGTGTTTTGCTTTAGTAGACTAGTTCTCAACCTTCAAGTTTAAAGCTCTAATTGTTGTAACTGGACTAATACCATTAAACATACCAAAATGTTCCATACTTGTAATGATGCTCAGTTACCATTTTTGTTACTATATCTTAAGCATTCGATTAAACCAATGAGGCCAGTTGTTGGGTTTGGTTTCTAAACATGACAGTGAAATGTCTGCCAACTAAATGAAAAGTATGCATTTGGTGTAATGCCTTATCACGACGTCGAGATTTCTCAAAGTGCTTCACAGGATACACCTTAAAGCGGATTGAGTGTGAGCAAATGCTGCAGCCAATTTTGCACACAGCAGTATCTCCCAAACAGCCATGGAGTGAGTGACTAATATGATTTGAGGGGGATTGTTGGCCAGGACCCTGGGCGAAACTCTTCTCTTTTCGAATATCGACACAGTATCTTTAACGTCCACCTGAACAGGTAGATGGGACCTGAGATTCACGTCTCATCCAAAAGACGGTACCTCTGACAATGAAACAGATTCCCCCCAACCCTCCACAGCTTTGGAGCTTAGACTATGTGATTCCAAGTCCCGATGTGGGGCTTGAGCCCACAACCTTCTTACTCAGCTATGGAAACTGCTGTGCACAAGTGCCTACCACATTTCGCCCACAAGCTATACAGTCACCTCATAGTATATTCTGTGAAGCGCTTTGAGACGTCGCGAAGATGTGATAAGGCGCTATATCAACCGCAAGGATTATTGTTATATAATAAACATGAGGTAAAACTTTGAGGGTTATGAAATGCATGTGTTACTAAACCCCAAATATGTTTTTTTAAATTAGGAACAGTAAAACTATATGAACTCAAAACTGCTTCTCAGACTGTAAAATATGAGAAACATGGAATCGCTCCCCCTGATGACATTATCAGCAAAAGAGAAGAGGAAGAAGAGAAAGAGGAGAAAGAGATTGAAGAAGACTATGAGGATGAATTTGAAAATAGTAATAGCCAAGATAACTACACCGGGACACTGTCAGGGGAAACCCGACCTCGAAAACGGAAAATAGCAAAACCAGCAGAGACAGCTTTCTTGATCCCAGAACCTGAACAAAAGCAACGAGGAAGACGTCAGAGGGACTTTGATAATACAGAACTAGATAATGATGATGATAGTGATGAGGAGAAGAAAAGGAAAGGGAAACTTCGGTCTTCAGAGGAAACGACTGAGGTCTGGAACCAGAATCAACAAAAACTGCTCGAGCTAGCCTTACAACAACATCCAAAGGGAACTGCTGAACGCTGGGACAAAATAGCAAAATGTGTACCAGGAAAGACAAAGGTAGTTTCTCATTTTGTTCTTGCCTATTTTCTGCCCTCTCCTTAAAGTATTTAACTTCTTTTTCTTTCCACTGTGGGAATGGTTCAATGGTTCTTTGCCCAGGTGGCTATTTTGTGACATGTGAATGTTGGCAGGTTATTCAACCATGAATGGCATGACGGGAAAGGCTATTCCTGGCTGGAGAATGAACTACATTCAAAATATTAGGAAGGCTAAGATTAAATAATTATGAATACAGTAAATCCATTCTCCAATAAATGTTATAATGTGACTTCATTTATAGAAAATGTTTCAAAAGTCAGAGGAATTCAAGGCTATTTTAAACAAACACTGTAATTAATGTAAAATAATGTGTATTGAAATTGTGCAGGTGTTGTAATTTAAATTGGCAGAACAGTCAAGAGACTGGTCTGTGTTGAGTACCTGTAAGCAAAGGAATTTTTGTAGTGTAGATTCACTACGATGAAGGTATTCAGTTATGAACAAAGACTTGAGAAGTTTTTTTGTTACAGAGCACAGAAGGGGAAACCTGAGAGGTTTTTAAGATTATGAAGGGTTACTTATGGTAGAGTACATTTAGAGAAGATTTTTTTTGCTGCCTCCGGTCAGTGAATGAGGAACAAAATGCACCAGGTTCAATGGACCGAATTGCCTGTTTCTGTGCTGCAGCATTTTATGATTCTACTGTAATATTGCTGTCCACGTCAACATTGTGACAATACAAGTTATTAAGAACATTCATAGCTGAGTCTGTGAAGAACTGGTTTGTGTTTGCAAACGTATTTGTACTTTTCCTTCATCCTCACTATATTGAAATCAAAATTTATTACACTAACTAAACAATAATACAAAAACCTTTTCACGTAGGCAGACGTGAAGCGCCTCATTTCTCTTATCTTTCTGCTATAATCAGAAGTTTTTTTTCAAGCCTGACTTTTGCTTCATCTAATGATTGATTCTTGACCTACTTTGCGCTCACTATTATTCTGAGTACTAGAATAATCCTGAACTGGAAGTCTTGACCCTTCACTTTCTTCTCATTAAAACATTGGAGCTATCTTTAAAATATGCTTGCAACAAAGATTAAAAATACATTACTTATGAAATAGTCCGTCAATCTTATGGTTGCATTTATTTTCTCCTGCAGGAAGAGTGCATGACCAGATACAAACTATTGGCTGAACTAGTTATGAAGAGGAAACAAGCCAAAAGCTGACTGCAAACAACTTATGAGCACTGGCCTCCTTCCAGAAGCAGTAATACACCATGGACAGTGTATTGTGTAAACGTGGAGCCAAGTTGCTTATAATTTACCTCGTCTTTTTTTGTGCCTTAGTGAATAAAACATGTGCCACCATCCCCCACAAGATAATGGGGCTGCATTAATTTTTAAGAACCTTGTTTGTTTATTGAATGCATTGCACATTTAAATATATAAGAAACTCATTCTCTGCACATTGTACCAAGCTTTATGTATTCGTTGTATTTTTTGCATTCAGTGGTTTTTTTGTGCAGAATCTCAATACAATTTATTTCCTGCATTCAACTAATTATTTCTTCTATACATCCTAGTGCAGAACAGATTGTCTTATAGCAATTCCAAGATCAGCAAATTAAGGTAATCAGAGTAATATTTTTCAAAAATTTCACTGCTTCATTGTTCCAAGCTCTGGTCTATACAGTTCTATTGCCCAAGTACCCATTTTTTTCCGTGAACCTAGACAGTTAATATAGCACTACAAGTGACATCTCAGTCAAGTCCAATGCTGTCATCACCTGGCATATACTTGCACATAATTTATGCAATAGTCTTATTCAAAATCAAAAGTGAAAATTCCAGCTGAATTTCCTTCTGACCTTACAGTTGGTTCTGATGGTTGCCTTGTTTGGCTCAGTATAAACCATGTGATGGATCTACCCAATGAACATTTGGGGAAAACAACTCAAATTGATGCTTTAAAGCATTCAACACTAAACTCAACAGCAACAAGATCACATTTGTATAGCGCCTTTCACGTTGGGAGGACGTCCCAAGGCGCTGAAAATCAGATCAATAACTACTCACAGATCCTCAGTTTGTAGAATTGAAGCGATCTTGTCAAAGAACACGCCAATAGGGATCCTTATTTCTTATTTTCTGCAATATCTGCATCAGTAACGAGTTCATGGCTGTTAGCATTTGCTGATAGGGAGGGAGTACAATATAGCTTTGTTCCCCCAAACTGATTCGATAACCCATCCTTCATATTGAGCCTGAGACTCAGTGGATAGTGTAGTGATACCCATACAAGTGATCTATCTGTTTTGGTAGCGCGAATCAGGATCACATATGCACACAAGTTTAAACTCCTTTGGTCGTGGTTCAAAGCAGGAACAGAAAGGCAAAGCCACAGAATTTTAAAACTATTAACTTCTGTGTAACTTGGAGAAAGAACTCATCATGGGGCCCTGGTACCTCTACCTGCCACATTCAAGCTGTATGTTGAAATGTTCAGTTACAAGAAATTCCCATCCAGAGATCATTTTGTCAGCTGGCGCAGAAATATCTTCTGTGGGTGACTGGCCCTCAGTTATCTCCCCTTCTTAAGAGAAACTCGAAGAGCTTGGTGGAGAAACTATTAATGGCACTTTTTGTTATACCTCAAAAGCTGTTGGAAAGATTGAAGACTTTGATACCTGAAGATCAAGCTGATGCGCACATGGTCCTGGTGAAGAGTGTCAGAATTTTGATTCATACAAAAGCCTTTTAGTGACATTTGTATGAAATCTACATTTGAAATATGAAGCATTCTAATTTCAAGTATGGCTTGTGAGTGTGTAACAAATTGTAACGACTGAATACCACAGAAGTATTTTCAGCCAGTAAGCTCCTTTTGTATAACATTCTTTTTTCCAAATGCTACCATCAAGTCCGCATATGTTTGGCTTTATCATTTCATCTCCTGCACAAAATACTTGAGATTGTAGTCGATTGTTCCGAGGGGTTGGGGTTTTCCAGTAGCTGAACCCAATGCACAATGGAATTGTACTGGTTAAAAACAAATGGGGTAGAATATTCAAGCCTCCAGTGCCAGTGTAAATAATCTTAATTAAATGTCGCTGGTGCAAAACCTTGCTCTTTTGGATCTCGTTTCTGTTTTCACATCAATATAATCAGATGCCTCAATTGTATTGAGATTTGGTACCTTAATCTAAGACCATAAAATATGCTGAAGGTGGATTATCGTGTAATTGCTATGTTTATTGGATGCATTCACAGGGCAAATCGTGAAATAGTGATATGCATGTTATTATTTTTAAAAAAAATGCTCTTCCAAGTCTTTCCCTTTTCTTCTGAAAGTGGTGACTTATTCTGGTTCTAGGTACACAACTTCAAACCATTATTAAAGTGTGAGTATGGACAGTGAATGTTAGGGCAAAAGGTCATCATATCCTTATCTGAAGGCTGAAATTCTTATTGCCAGAGGGTGGGAGCAGAGTGGCTGAAGGCCTGCCCACCAATGGTGGGGTGGACGAGGTGGGGGATGTGAAGCAGGCTGGAGCCCACTGAGTGGAGGGATTGAGCAGGATGGTAGGAGGTTAGGTTAGGAGATCGCAAAGGTAGCGGGGAGCAAAGCCATGGAGGGCTTTGATCGTGATGACCAGGATCTTGAACTGTATCCTCTGGGAGCCAGTGGAGTTGGGCCAGGATGGAGGTGATAGGGTCAAGGAGCCTGGTACAGGAGAAGATTTCTGGATGATCTCCAGCCTATGGATGGAGGAGTTGGGGAGGCCGAAGCAAGGAGTTTGCATAGTCAAGCCTCAATGTTATGAAGGAATTTATGAGAGTTTCTGCAGCCTGCGGTGTGAGACAGTGGTGGAGCCGGGCGACATTCTGGAGGTGGAAGTAAGAGTGGGTCATGGCATGGATGTGGGGTAGAAAGAATAGTTGAGGGTCAAACAAGACGCCAAAGGTTTGGACTGGCTTAGCAAGGTGGACTGCATCCCTGGATAGTGATGCTGTCAGCGCCTGAGGTATGGAGGTGCTCAAAGGAGCCAATCCGGAGGGCCTCGGTCTTGTTGACGTTCAACTGAAGAAAGTTAGCGTTCATCCAGGACTTAATGTCCGACAGACATTCTGTCAGGACAGCAGTGGTCCGGGAGTCAAGGGTGGAGGCAGATATATGTATATATATCTACATGTGGAAGTTAAACCCATGTCTGCAGATGATGTCACCCAAGAGGGAGCACACAGATGTTGAAAAGGAGGGGACCAAGGACAGAGCCCTGAGGAACACTACACGAGACGGCGCGGGTGCTGGAGGAAAAAATATTTGTGAAGATGGAGGCGGTGTGAGAAGTGCAATCTGAACCAGTCAAGGACAGAACCGTGAAGGTTGAGGTGACAGGAGAGACGGTGGATGAGGATAGAGTGGTCAATGGTGTCGAAGGCAGCAGAGAGATCAAGGAGGATGAGGAGACAGAGGAGCCCTTGTCGCAGTTGGACAGAATGTCAGTCACTTTGACCAGGGTGGTTTCTCTGCTGTGGGCAGCACGGAAACCTGATTGGAGGGGGTTTGTGAAGGGAGTGACAGGAGAGGAAGGAGCGAAGCAACGACTCTTTCCAGGACCTTGGGAGAGGAAAGGAAGGTTGGTAGTTTGAGAGCAGGAATAGGTCCAGGGAGGGTTTTTTAAGGATAGGAGAGATGACAGCCATTTTTTATACACATCTGTGGGCATCATATTTGGTTCGCTTTCTACAATCCATTTGTTGCAGTATACATGGAGCAGCATTTGGTTATCGCTTAGCAGTTTATACTCAAACCAATTTAATTTGCAGAGCATTTTGCACACGTGTGTGGTGTGTATGCGAGAGAACTGCTTGACTGCTTGAGTATACACATATATGTAACTATTAAACTCCAGAGAGGCTTGTGTTTTAGCACAAATAATGTAACATTCCTATATGGTAGTCTTTTTCATTCTTTAAATGTTAAAGCACCTTTAACGTTCATATATTGGAGCGTGACCAAAATCTGAAAGTGAATGGAAGAGAAACACAAAAGAATTCTAAATGAATTGGACATAATGGTTTCAACAAAGTTTCACTTGAAGGTACTTTCTGATTCCGTGTGGAAAAGAAAAGCAATGTCCCAATATGATTAGAATTCAAAATGTCTTGGAACAGGACATCTTTTGTAGGTTTTCCCTCCTTATCTGGCGCCTGAATTTTCTCGTTGATCTGAGATGTTAGACTATGTTAGACTATGTTAAAAATTGCTAGGTGCAAAATTTTGGAAAATTCAAAAATTAAATCTTAATTTGGAAACAAATGTTGCTCAGTCATTAACAATAGTTTTAAGATTAAGGTCAGGAACAATTATGGGGCTGATGTCTAGCTGCTGGAGCTCCTTTTGAATTGATAGCAAAAACCTTAGGCAAGTTTCCTTACTCCACACACATGCCTCAGTTCACCGAGCAGTAAGTAGGAATTTGCTTGTTAGTCGATTGGCGGATTGCTTTCTGAGGGTCATAATACTTCCCATGAAAAAAGAATCACTTGATCCACGACTGTTTGTGGAACACTGCTTTGCGCAATTGGCTGTCGCGATTCACCCACAAAACACACAATCACTCCACAGTATATCCTGTGAAACGCTTTGAGACGTCTCGAAGACTTGATAAGGCGCTATATCAAATAAAAGGATTATTATTATTAAAATTCTGTTTTTGGTTCATTCTCATTCTTAAAATGTTTTATGCGTATACTCCTTATGTTACCATTGAGATGCTACCAGGTAAGAGAAAGGTTAAAAAAAGTCTTGAAATAACCTTTACCATATGGATATAGTAAAAATTGAATTAGTGATAAAATCAAACCAGTGCTGGTAATTTTAATGTTGGAAGAATGTATATATGAAATACAGGTTCTCTGGTATTTTCCTATTAAAGAAAAAATGGAAAATGTATTGTCTTTTGTCAAACCTTCATAAAGTTAATTTCTTATTAAATAGAAAGTTGCAATCTGTTGGGGATCAAACTGCACTGGATTTAGAATATAATATAAATATACATTGTATGTAAAGTTTTAATATCTTCAGAATAACACAAAGAAAGCAATGTGATTTTTGTCTATTTCAATACATTTTTCTGTGAGTTGATATTTCAGGCTTTGGAGCTTCAATAAATCATAAGATTTTGAGCCAAAGACAAATCCTCCAAACAAATATTCACATCAGTAAAATGGGGGTTGGATGCAACACCTGGTGGCAATTATTATAGTTTTAAAAGTCTAGACTTTTCTTTTTTTACAAATCTGATTCCATGATTTATTTTAACAGAATTTCACAGAAAATTACATGGGTTTTTTGTTTAATTTTCGCTGTTTAAAAAATATAATACTGTACCCTCTCAATTGAATTAATTTTGTGGGATCTGTTTTGCATTTAGCCATTGCACATTAATTCATTTTGCTTCTACTCTTCCTCTTGACTGGGTGGGTGGTTATGTGAGCTGCTCTCAGCCTTTATTGTACCTGTATTATGATTCATTGACATGATAAGGCACTGTATAAATACCTGTACAAGGATTATTATTGTTATCATTAAGCTTCCATACAACTGTTTTGACTTTGACTTTAAACAAGGAACTAACTGTACCAAGAAAAGCCAGTGACAGACATAAGGAAAGAGAAAGTTTCAGCTTCTAATGCATTTAAGTGCCAGAAATCGTAATGGATTAGGTGTAACCTCATGCACAGACTGCAAATAAAATGATGAAATTAATATGTTAAGTTTCAAGGAACATCACCGAAAACAAACTGCATTTATATAGGATATTTCACATAAGTGGGTTGTTCCAAAATGCTGGACAATCAAAGGTTTTGCACCCGAACTGGAGGTTAGATTCGGGCCTAAAAGGTCTTGAGATGGATGTTGGAGGTGAGAGTAGGGGGCGAGGCAAAGGAACTCCGGGATGGAGGTCCAGAGAGTGGGGGCAGAAAGGCTGAAGGCCCAACCTCCGATAGTTGGGTGAGCATGGCAGGGGACACCAGTGCGTGCTGGGTGGAGGGGTAGGGGGGGTTGGTAAGGTTCTAGGTCACAGCGAGGGTGTGGCAAGATTGTGGAGGGATTTAAAAGTGAGGGCAAGAATCTTGAATTCAATCTTCTGGGGGAATGGGGAGCCAATGGAGCCGGACTTTCTCACGGAGCCTAGTGGGGGGGCAGGGAATGTATAAGCTGCAGAGTTCTGAATGATCTGCAGCTTGTGGAGGGAAGACGTGGGAAGGCCAGTGAGCAGAGCTTGGCGTAATGAAGCCTGGTCGTGATAAAAACATGGATATGGGTCTCAGTGGCCTGAGGGGAGAGGTAGTGGTGGAGGTGGGCAATGTTGCAGAAATGGGGAAGTTAATAAGTGGATAACTTTGGAGGTTAGATTGCTTTACTTTGGTACAGCTTTCCTCAGTTATTAAACGTAAATAGGCAAATGAACTTCTTCACCTGTAGGTGTCACTTGAATGCAGCCTGGAACACACGCAGCATTTTTAAAAATGTAAAACAGCACCAGTCATCATCTTCAAGTTCTGCTGTCAAATCAGTCAGTGAGAAAAGGAGAAGATGGTTGATTGGGATTGTTTGTCAAATGCCCATCGCAAAGATAGAATGTTTAACTTCTTGTCATGTGCATCAATCTTACTTCTTCCAAGTTATAAAATTTTATATAGGATGACAATACCAAAAGTTGGAAATGTTAACTTTCAACCTTATTCCAAAGAGCATGAAATGGCCACAATGCTGGTAGAATTCACTTTAAACTTTGTCTGCTATAATAAACCTTATGTGTGGTGTAATAGTTTTCACATCTGAAAGTGTTTCACGATGTTACAAGTGGTCTCAGGCGCTACGTTGTGTGTATAAATGCAAGTTGTTACTGTGAAGTAGAGTGACTGGATCTGTAGGTAAATATGACAGCCTAATCGTGCGCAGCAACGTCCTACAAACAGCTGCGAAAGAATGATCAATTTTATTTGGCCAGGACCATGAAGCAACACAGCAAAATATTAGCACAATTTTTGTGAAACAAAGTAGGAGAACACCTTAGAGCACCTTACTGTGACTGAATGGTAGTGAAG